CATGTTTTTTACGCGTAGATTTTAATTAAATTTACTAAAACTATATTTTCCGCTAACTTCAGACGCGCCACGAAATAACTGTTCTTGAATTGACATTTGTTTTGCTCGTATTGTCAGGAGAACGTATATTAAATATATAACGTTATATATATTACGTTCTCTGGAGTTGTTCCGTCCAAGCACAGGGGTTTATAGCCCGGAATTTTTTTCTCAACGAAACAAATGAAAATAAATTAACAGCAAAATGAAAGGAAACGATATTAGAAAAGCAAAATAAAAATATTGATTTACTTTATACGTAAAATATTGATGTTATTTAGTTTTTACAAGAAAACTTGTCATTAATTTTATAATATACATTTGTATTATATTCATATTACATGTTGATAGTAAATTTCGTTATATAAACATATACATATATAAATACAAATACATAATTCATATATATCACATATCGCATGCTATATTTGCTTTAGTTGACTGCTTTTGTATTTTCCGGCACACGAAACACCCTATGCGATACCGCCTGTTCATTGACATTTGTCGGCAAACAAATTTTCCCCCATTTGCGGTTAAATCTTGGGAGCTCATCCACTCATCACTCTTGTACGCGTGTGAAAATCTGTGAAAATGGTGATTGCGAAAGAAACATTGACAGACTACAAGGAGGTCTACGAAAAGGCTATAAAATATGTTAACGAAGAAAGTAAAAACGATCCACCTACAGATCCATTTCGTTCACATTATGCCGCGCGGGAGTTATTATTACAAATGAAAGGAAATCTTAAAAATGCATTAGCTTCAGTTGTGGCGGAAGAGGCGGACGACGGGCAAGATGATTTCACTTACACTGTTTTGCTTGCATTTGTGTGTCGTGACCTTGGGCGTATCTACGTCTTTACGGATGAAGTTTCAACTGGTGAACGTCTATTGCAAGAAGGTCTGCAATTGGTTGAACCACATAAAATGAAACCTGAGGCTATTATTTCCTATGTGGGTGCGCTCAATGAAATAGGCATAGTGCAGGCAAATCGTTCTGAATACAAACAAGCTTTTGATACACTTATAAAATCCGAAGAATCCTATAAAGAATTTGTAAAAAGCAATGGCACTCCTGTATGCATTACTGACATTTTCGGCACACCCGACGAAGTGGAAGAGGGAAAAGGTGCAAAAGAATTGGAGAGCTTATATACTTTGTGTACATTTTATTTGGCACAAGTACACGGGCATTTGGGTGAGCTGGAAAAGTCAGCGCAATATTGTCATTTAACGCTACGCCGGCAATTGGAATCAAAAACTTATGAGGCTATAGATTTTTCGTTAAATGCTGCCACTTTATCACAGTATTTTATTGGTGAGAATATGTTCAAAGAGGCACGTCACCATTTGGCTGCCGCTACATATGTAATGGCTGAACATGAAGCCAACATGTTGACGCCAGATATGACTGAAAAACAGCGTACGGATGTAACAGAAACATACAAACACAGATACGCAGATGTTGCACGTTGTTGGGCTAAGTATGGGCTGGCGTTGCTAAGTGCTTCCAAGGAACGTTTATATAATGACGATGACGAAAAAGTAACCAAAGGTAATAATTTCTATATTTCAAATAAATAATTCTCAGTTTCTATAACACTTCTATTCGACTTTGCAGATGTAAAGCGCATCACAGTTGATCCAAACGCTTATCGTTTTCCCGGACTGAACATAGATGTGTACGAAAATCGTGTTACAGCAGATTATTGTTTGACTTTTGACGACGCCAAACCGGTATATCATTATGTCAGTGACTGGCTGGACAAGGCAAAAGAATATTATAAACCTGAAACTGAAGCTACCGAATATGCAAAAGTTATTAAAGATTATGCTGAATTATATCAGCATATCGCATTCTTCGAAGAAGATCCGGCTAACCAAGCGAAAATGCAAAAGCGTCGTGCAAAATACTATGAAGATTTACTTGAACTGCTCAACCCCGTCTTCTATATGGGGATTTGCCGTGAGTGCTGGTATGGTGCTGGACTGTCATACTGTGCAATATTGGATATAAAATTGGATGCGTTGAAGGAGCGACGCACACCGCAACCGCAAGAACTACAAAAGATCAATCAAACCTGTCAGCGAGCGATTAAAAATTTTCTGGAATTTGTGAAATCCTACACGGACAAAGATGGCATCACAATCAAAGCAAGCGCCGATGCGGAAGAACAACGGAACGTACTCTATGCCTACTTTCATTTGGGACGCTTACATTTCAAAATGATCACACCCGATCTGAATCTACAACTCGAAAATATGAATAATAGCCTCAAATACTATAAACTCTTTACGGACGAGTGTGCAGCAAGGAAAGAGGTGGCTGAAACGCTAAACGCTGAAGTTGGTGTTTGCCGTGAAATGGTTAACTTGTTGCCGCTTAAAATAGCCAATATAAAGAAACGTTTGCCAAAGTAGATGAACAACTCACGCTCTATCTAGCTATGTATATGTGACAAATTTATTGCATTTAAGACAATTATTTGAAGTGTTGTGTTTGTTTGTGCTTTAGCATTAGGGTACAGCTAAAATGTTTACCTTCTGTGACTGTCGTGTTGGAAGAAAAGTAATTTTTAGTGCTTCAAATGCAATAAATTTGAATATTTAGGGATTAAAACAAAGTAGTTAAAACTTATATACATTGTTGTGAATGCTATTGTTAAAAGCGGTGGATACTTCTTGAAATAATATTCGTCCGTATTAGGGCTGTGCACAAATCCTTCTTTATATTTTCAAACCTTCTAGTCATAATCTATTCACACTGAAGTGAGCAAAAAAAAAAATTTGCTGTAATTTAACCACAAAAACTATTCCAGTTACGGCCTTACGCAATAGCCTGTGCTATGCAAATGCAAACCAAATACCAAAAAAAAAATGATATTAGCATAAATGGCGTTTTAATTAATTTAAAAAAATAATAATAATAACTGAATTTTATTTAATTAAAAATTAAAAATAAAATTCTAATTCACATCACATAAATTAAAATTTATTTTTATTAAAATTATTCGGTTGTTTTTTCGTAGCTTCGAGCGTGCATCTGATGGTCACGCCCACCGCCTTATGTGCGCTCAATTCCTTGTAGAGATTGTCGGCCAAACGTCGAATCGGCATAGCCGTTATGCCGTCTAGCAGATTTTCACGCGCATACTTCACCATCTTATCGACGATGTCATCGACATTTATGCAACGCGGATCGATTTTCGCATCATCGCCCAACAGTTGCATCAGCAAACGCGTGGTTCGCTCACTTTGGAACTCCTCCAAAGGCAAAAGCTCAATCAAATGCTCGAACAGACGCAACAAAATGAATTGTGTTTTATTCAGCACAGCCTTCTCTTGACCCAATCTCGTCAACACATTGTGATAGATGCCGCTTATCAGTTCGTCCGTATTCACTTCGGACGTTTGATAGTCGTAGGCGTTGAGCACATCGCGAAACATCTTCTCCAAATTCTCTTTGGACATATGCACCAGATACTTTTTCGGCATCATGGACTCCAGCGCTTGTGTTATGCAATCCAGTATGCGTTCGGTTATTTTACCCTCGAATGTGTGCGCTGCTTGCGCCAAATAGCGTGTGGCTTTCTTCGCATATTTTCGTATATTATCCGATGTGGCATAACGATTGAACCATTGAGCGAAGTATTTTTGTACGATTTTCCGTATGCGATCGGTAGTGAATTGATCTGGTTCCATGCGTTGCAGGTAAGCTTCGGATGCCAGCGATTTCGGACAAGTCACGCCGTCATCTTGCTGTGTGGTCTTATCGATTATGTCGCCCTTGACGACTTCGTGGAAGAGCTGTAGCGGTTTGGATTTCAAGCGCAGCGTACAAATCTCGCGCTCCAAGCACTGTGAAAAAAGTGTAGTGAAAATATTCGAGTTGCAAAAACTAAATGTAATTTCGAACCACCCACCTCGATGGTTTGCTTTTGCTCTTTGTGTATTTGCGTTAGTTTCTCCACATCTCGATCCAGATTCACTTTATGCGGCTGCATCCACTTCTCAAAGTTTTGCTCTTGCGATTTCAAAATCGTGTATAATAAGTTTTTTTCTTCATGCAACACTGTCAGTATGCTCAACTTCTCTGCGTTGAGTTTAGTCTCGCGTATCAATTCCTCCTCCAAATTCGCCAGTTCCAGCTAGGTGAGAGAAACTAATTATCTTGCTTTCCTTTCGTAATCGTAACTCACCTTTTTTCGTGCGATCTCCTTATCGATCAGCCTGAACTCATCCTCAGCTGATGTCTCCAAATCGAATACATATCTACGTAAGACCTCCTCCTCCAATTCATCCAAATTGATGATCATGCCAAATTTTTTAATCATCTCTTGTTTGATATCACTTTCCAGTCTTGTTATTTCGCTGCGCATAAAGCTTATGTCGGTATTCATGCGTCGCAAATGCACGACATTGATACGATGGAGACGTCGTGTCTCTTGCGTTTCGTCATTTAATTGGGCTACACGATCTTTAAGCGCAATTAAACGATTGGCATCGAAAAGTATGGCACGACTTAGGTCGAGATAATTATCACTGGATTTGAAATGTTGTAATTGGTCCATCGACAATATTACGGAGATTTTAATCTTATTCAACTCCTGCTGCCGTTTTCGCTGAGGAATGAGATTTAAATACAAAAACCTATTAGGATAACTGAAGAAAAAACTATCGCTCACTCTGTTTCTATCTCCCTCCTCTATCTCTTTATCTCTCTCTCATCCTCGCTCTCACTGTTTTTTTCTAGCTCACGCTCTTTTCCTCTCCTCCTCTCTTTCTTTCCCACTCCTCCTTCACTTTTTTTATGCTTTCTTACCAATTCCGCTTTCGTCCCACTCTGTTTCTCACTCTCTCGCAAACGACTTCTTCTCCTCCCCCTTTCATCCCCCTTTTCTCTCTTTAATGCTCTCTTTCTGACTCCCCCACCTTCGCTATTTCTCACTTCCCTTTCTTTCTTTCGAAAACTACTCAAAGCTCTTAGCGTGTCAGTTCATAAAATACCATACTCACCCGAAACACCAGCAAAGTTTCCTTCTCTTGCGCATAGACCTCTTCGTGGTATTTCATTTTCTTATGCAGCTCAGCTACATCCGCGCGTCGCTGATCAATACCCTTCTGTGTCTCCATCATTACCTTTTCAGAGCATGTCGCTCCGAAAGCGTATGCTGAGACAAGCCAATTCGCTATGTGCTGCCGGATTCAAGATCCAGAAAGCGGCAATGACTTATTTCGTCCAGACCGAATCGTCGTCATATCGCGTATATCGAAGATATACTTTAGCATCGGCGTCCTTCAGTCCTCACAGCTGACATTATCTGCCGCTCTCGACGAAGACTAGAGATCGAATTCTAAATAGAGTACAAGTCTATGATTAGTTCAAGATCCATATTGGTCGTCTGTACCGAACTATTAGAGATACGATATTTATTGTCTAATTACCATCGTCGGCCTTCGCGTGGTTTCGGTGGTCGCCATCGCTTCTTAAATATAACGCCGCAAGAAATCGAAAACTATGGCCCTTGCAAAGTGCTCATGAATTTCTGCTGGACCGACAAATATTGTTCGTTCAGTTTATCGGCAATCTTTTTGAAGTCTTCAATTTGGCTGATTTTTTCGTATTTATTACCGCTTGCATTTCATTGCGCGTCATTATTGCTTCAAATCGGCATTGAACAGCAATTGATTCTCAATCTCTTCGCTGTTCACGCAAAATATTCAATTCTGATTAATGTTATCATGTAGCAGTGCATAAACACAGATCGTAGAAACATTTACAAACGTAACGCAATCATTAAGCAGATCCCTTATCGAACGTCCCTTAATCACGATTCTTTACCTTCAACACCCAAACGCTTTGCTCATCTCTCAACATCGATTAGCCATCTGCCGCTAGCCGCACAACAGATACCCATGGCGCAAAACCTCCTGTTACGCTCGAAGAATCCGCTTGTGAAAGCCGGATAACTGTCAATTTCGCTTCAATATATCCTTCTATGTCGCCGGCAGACTCGTCCACTTCGACATGCAATGCAAGACTGCTACAATGACTGTTCAATCTTACTCGCGCTACCCGAAAGTTCACCTCCTTAGCTTAGTCTCGTGGTTGGTAAGAGGTCATCAACCTTTTTCTCCACATATAGTATATCCTTAATGTCAATGCCAACAGCCAAGGTTCTACACATGCTCGTCAAGATTTACCTCCGCGAATACTCTTCCTTCATATTTGATTTCTCCTGATGGTATCAAATATTCGCGAAAAATTTTTTGCTAACGGTAAAAATGCATGTAAACGTTCAACGTTGCGCATTTTTATATACTCAATACAAGTACCAATTTACGGTTTGCGCATTGGAATAGTTCTGCTATGAAAGTGATCCAAAGTTAGGTAATTATGCGCCGTCTGGCCATTCACAATTCAATTATATTTAATAAGTTAGCTGATTGTTAAGTACGCGGCTCATATCGAAACCAATTTTCAGCTTGTAGCACCCCAAATTCTTTCAAGCGTCGCGATTTTCGTTCATCTTCTGGATATTTTTCTTCGAGGATCGGTTTACAAGTTCATTTTGCTCCCATATAATGCGCTCGACTTCATATATTTGAACGAGAGCGATTAACGTCGCAACAAGCTGCAACTTTTCCTTACTGAAGCGTGGTATATCGTGTTGGGATTACGACCAAAGAAGAAATTTCTAACAACCTGGCTCTGGCATGCTCCTGGTTCCTTCCTTCCGCAACAATGGGTTGCGATGGATCTGCCGAAATTGTAGGAAATGAAAGTAATTTTGGGAAGCCCCAGAACCCACAACTAACACCCAACCACCAAAAACAACAACTCCCCACATACAAAACACACCACAAAACACCAAACCAACACCACACAACAACCCAAACCGTCTCAAGAGGTCGGTAGGTATTAGTTGTAATTGAGGAAAGTGCTGATTGGCTCGAAGTAAAAGTGTTAAGAAATATTAAGTTTTGAACGTAAATAACCGGAAAATTCTTGCAGCATCGAGGTTCAATGTGAACCACAGTGAAAGCTGTACAAG